GGAATGCTGAAGCGCATCTCGGCTCTCGCGCATGACCTCGCGCAGCTCAGTTACTACGGCAACACAGGGCTGCTCGCAACCATCAGCAATGAGAACGGCTGGACTACTGTCTACGAGTAAGTGATGCCCTTCTTTTACTCTCCCTTTGTCTGCCTCTCTCTCATCAGGAGAGTGCGCTGCTTTGCTTGATTTATAGGCGCGCGATCTGTCTTCGTTTTGGTGTGTCATATCCTGTCGTTGCTTTCTTTAGAGTCTATTTCGGCTGTCACGCAGCCTCACTTGCACACTCTGATAGTCTAAAGCTGTTTTATTAGCAGGAAGAGTAGCAAGTTTCTGCTGTACTGTATATAAAACAAAATTCCGTCCCAACATAGATTAATATTTACCTGCATCTAATCTAATCATGCTTCATCAGAATTTATCAGAAGGAAAATAATCTAATAGTCTGATATACAGTGTTACCTGAGATCGTTTGAAGGAGTGCAGCAGTTCGATTTCTCAAGCTGCGTGTTTTTCTGCTGCAATGAAAATCACTCAGCCTTAATCTATCCAATAAAGAAAAGAACTCTGTATCCTCTTCTGATTTCACTATGAAAGAGCCTGGGTACCTGCGAGTGTGTGTGCGCGTGCGTGTGTGTGTGTATGTAAACTGTTTGCATGGGCATTTTAAGGGATTTGTGAGACTGAGCTGCAAGTTCTAATTTAGTGTGAAAATGTCAGGGGCTTCTTTTCCTCTCTCTCTTTCTCTCATTTTTGTTTGATCAACTCAGTGACCTTTCACACACTGTGTTTACACACACATACACACACATCTACACGTTCTCATGCAGCTCATGGTGTAGTGTTGAAGCAGATCACATGCCTGGCTCCCTGTGCTCAGTCTGTTGTGAGACACTGCCCCCTGCTGGTGCATACTAGTGCATACTCAAGCGTTACATTGATCAGACTTGTGGTTCGTGGGAGAAGTTAAACCATAGTTTGGTTTAATTCATGTCCTGTAAAGCCTAATAACAGCCAAAAGCACAAGCAGTAAACAGAAAGCAGTATTTTTTTGCGATGGTAATACTTTATGCATTAACATTAGTTAATTCATTAGATATCATGGGCTAACAATAAGCAACCATTTTTAACAACATTTATTTAAATGCATTATATGTGTTATAATGTGTTGGTATGATGTATGTAAAAATTAACATTAACCTAGAATAATAAATGCAGTAAATATATTTTTGGGGTGATAACAATTTACAATTGCTATTCGTTAATATTAGTTAATGCATTAGGTATCATGAGCTAACAATAAACAATACATTTTAACAGCATTAATTAATTAAGTAAAAATGAAACAAAACACAAAATTGGAACAAATACAATTGTATTATATTATATTTTATGTTTTTGTATATATTGAAATTAACATTAACCTAAAATAATAAAATAAATAAAAAATATAGTTTTTTTTAGTTCATGATACTGTTAACAAAATGTATTAACTAATGTTGATTCATTTAATTTTATTGTAGAGTGTTATAATTTTTGATAATCTATTTGTTTATCATTTTTAAATGGGTTCATATGAATTCTGTATGCCTGTAGCTTATTCAGCAATAGTGGGGAATCTTATTTAAATTATGTTGCAACATTCTGTTCTGCACACAACACCGAAGGAATTAGCGGAAATGGTGTGTTGACTTTGATCAGTTCCCTCATCCAGAAGTAATAAGTACTGAATATTTCAGAAACATACCTCAAAGCAGAATATGCGCCAACGTAGGTGTTGCAAACTCGTCAACAAGCGCCCCTGGTACAGGGAAATTTCTTAGATCTGATATGCATGCAGTAATGACTCGAGATAAAAAGTTTAGTTTTTTTTATTCTTCAGATCAGATAGGCTGTGTCTCAAAACCTAGCTGCCTATCTAAACTTTGTTTTGGGGAATTTTCAGTTTTAAAGGCATTTTACCTTTTGCAGTTGTTCGTATAGCCGCTATCCAAAGTGATTTACAAATGAGGAATAAAACAAAAATTAATCATTGCATGAGAAGTACTGCAATTCAGAGTTCTAGAATTGCTCAGAAAAATTCAAGCTACAATAGAGATGAAAGGGAGCGGCAATGTGAGAATAGCAAGTAGATTATTATTTATTTATTTAATTTTAAAAAGAGTCAAATGCTAAATCAAAGCCAGCTTGTAATGTTTCTGGACTTTTAATGGGACATCTATTGTACCTGACTGATCTGTAAACAGAAAATTGCTGGAATACAATCTCAGACATCATTAGTTACCATGCACATCTATGCTAGGTGTAAGGAAAAGATGAATCTCTCTAGTAAAAATATATGGTTGTGACCCCGGAGCACAAAAGCAGTGTTAAGTCGCTGGGGTATATTTGTAGCAATAGCCAAAAATACATTGTATGGGTCAAAATTATTGATTTTTCTTTTATGCCAAAAATCATTAGGATATTAAGTAAAGATCATGTTCCATGAAGATATTTTGTAAATTTCCTACTGTAAATATATTAAAACTTAATTTTTGATTAGTAATATGCATTGCTAAGAACTTCATTTGGACAATTTCAAAGGTGATTTTCTCAGTTTTTTATTTTTTTGCACCCTCAGATTCCAGATTTTCAAATAGTTGTATCTCGGCCAAATATTGTCATATCCTAACAAACCATACATCAATGGAAAGCTTATTTATTCAGCTTTCAGATGATACATTTAGAAAAACTGACCCTTATGACTGGTTTTGTGGTCCAGGGTCACATTTTCATCTCGGCCTCCACCTGAAAATCATTTTGATTTTGAGACCCCTAATATAGACATTCTTGAATGTGCAGAGGAACTTGAGGGAGTTCAGAAGATCATTCCACCATTGAGAAATAGAGAAATTTCGGGAAAGTGATTTTGCGCCTGTTGATTTGATTTGCAAAAGTGAGAGGCTGCTCAATATGCATGCATTAGTGCCTTGGTGAAAGCATCTGGCAACCAGTGAGGCGAGACAAAGGCGTTCAAATGATCGATTCAAATGTTCAAATGCACCTATGATGCCCAAAAATGCATCTAGGTAGGCAGCTCATTAAGTTTTGACACATAGCCATATTAGTTGTGCTTGCTAAGGTGAGCATCACTATCACTGTTGCTCCTACCACTCAAAACCCCTTAGCAACCGCATAGTAACTGCTCCGCTCGTATTTTCTTCAGAAAATGCAGAAATATAGTTTTAGAACAAGATTACAGTAGAGTTTTAATGAGAATCCAGTAACGTAAACCATGTGGATTAGGTGCTTATCCCTGCACAGTCAATCCATTTAGTCCCTTTTCAAATAAGGTTTATTTGTATAGCGCTTTTTGCAATACACATGGTTCCAAAGCAGCTTTAGAGAAAATAGAAAAATAAAGAAAATAATAAAGAAGATAAAAGGAAAAGAAAAAATAGTGGCTTACAACTCCCCAGTGAGCAAGGAAAGGAAGGAAAAGGCCCTAAGATGTTTAAGTAGATGAGGAAGAAACTGGCATTTCAGGCAGACTCAACATTTTGTGTAGAGGAGAAGATGGCGGCTGATGTCTCTTGATCTAAACTGCAGGCCTTTGAAAGCTCAAGAGCTTCATCAAATAAAAAGCTTTTATTCTTATACATCAGAGTAGGTGGCCAGATGCAAGTATATGAAATAAATTGGCATTGACATTGATAAGACATAAATAAATTAGGGGCAGAGAAGATGAGCTGGAGCTGTTTAGTTCTAAAAACTACTCTAGAAATGGAGAAAGAGAAATGAAACATGTCAGAAGTACTTCACCCACTCGTTATATCACATGACTCTGTCCACACAGATTCAAATGTCAAGTCATCTGTTTCTCTGTGGTGCATCAGCGGATTTTAACATTCACCTTTATAATGTATCTCACACCCCACACATTTGTCTTTGTCATTTCGCATTGACTTTTACACTGAGTTAATGATATTTTCTATCCTAACCTTTATGTAATTGTCATTTAGACATTTACTGTATTTAATAAGCTGTTTAAGCTGCAGTGTTTGTAGGTGATTTCAGTCTTTACTTTCTTTAAAACGCAGACAAAGTAGAAAGTCCATCAAAGGAAACTACGGTTGGATAGGACTGTGTCCTGTGTGCTTAGCACAGTGTTCATGAGTTCACTAATCCCTGCGTATAATGAAGGTAAACAGATTTGGCTTACTGTCAAAGACAGGACTGCAGCCTGAGACTCGAATACAGCTCTTAAGAACCCTTGGACTACTTAATAATGAAGTTACTAATGAATGAATAGAGGTAGAGGTGGAGCTCAGGGTTGGTGGGATGCTGGAGAATTGTCACAGCAGTGAGATACAGTAATCGACTGTACATTTACATTATGATTAGGGGTGTAGAATATGGTCATGTAGAATATGTGCTTTATAAGTACTAATAAACAGCCAATATGTAAAAAAATAGGCATGCTAATAAGCAACTAGTTAATATAAAATCGGTCTCTATAATGAAGTGGGTTACACTTTATTTTCAAGGGGTCATATGATGCGATTTAAATTTTTCCTTTCTCTTTGGAGTGTTATAAGCTCAGGCTCATTCTAACACGCCCCTACATGTCTACGTCACGATGTGGGAAGATTTGCATAACGCCGCCCAAATGTTCACACAAAGAAAGAAGGCGTAACTTTTATTCTCGCTATAGTATTGTTGCCACCGCCGCCATGTCATGACCCCTTTAAGGTGTCCTTGTTACAGTGTAATTATACACCTAAGTACTGAGCAATATTAATTAACTTCATGTACTTACTATAAGGATTAGTGTTAGGATTAGGGTTTGACTTAGGGTTACTTGCATAAGTTATTGTTCGTATAATATGACGTACATGTAACGTGTAACAAGGACACCCTAAAATAAAGTGTTACAGTAGTCATCATATCATGAAAATTTTACATTTGCTTAATCATTTGAAATACGTGACTTGTAACTTTAAGACATCCAAAATTCCTTCTCAATCCAAAATGATCAATTTTTCTACATTATCATTATTGATTTTATAAATATTAACAATAAATAACAACAAAGAAAATTTAACTAGACAAATAAAAACATACATATGTCAAAATGCCATTAGTACATTACTTAGGCTATACATTATTATTTATTTATTTGTTTTTTGACCTGCACAGTCACACTAAGGTAACGGGAAGAAGCAGAATAGACACTTAAAAAAGATACTGATGTTCCAATTTTTGTATAACTAACAATAAAAACATCCTTTAGATTGTAACTGCAGGAAAGTGTGACTCAAGTTTATTTTTAACAAGGTCTCTGATCATTTCAGTTCCACCTTCACAGTTCAGCCCATTTCAGTGGATTGTTTTATGATCCTGTCACAATGTAATTCAGTCTTTGCAAAGAGGCCGTTATTGAAGAATTCAGCAGCATGAACTATATTGGACCCAACAGCAAACCCAGGCCGCATGTAAGTGAAGCAAAGCCTTGTTTCTCATTTCACATGCGAAGAGGGCGTTTACACAGAGGTCTTAAAGGCACGGCAGCAAAAAACAGCCTGTTTACTGCTGTTGTAAGGGTCAGGGGGAGAACAGAAAATTGTCATGAAAGACTAAATTATGACGCACGAAACCTTGACTAGCGTTTCAAATGTCATCGGGGAGAAATAAAAGGATAAAAAATGCATGATATGACTGACCCCTTTAAACTCCCTTACATGCACATGCATTTACACTCATTCATTTGAACTTTAGTACAGTCTTTCTCTCTCAGAGACACACACACACACACACACAAACTAACAGAAAGTGTGTTTATGAGCAGGTATAACTCTGACGGACACCTCATCAACGTGACCTTGCCAACCGGAGAGGTCAGCAGTTTCCATGGAAACATGGAGAAAGCTGTAAGAGTGGAAGCCACTGCCTCGAACAGAGAAAACTTTATTATAATTACAAACCACTCTGCGGATAACACCATCTACACACTTCGACAAGGTGAGAGAGTGTATGTATGTGAATCTGCAGATTCGTTTTTTGTCATAATATCAAATACAGTAGCCCCAAAAAGTATTTGAACACTCCAGCCAAAAAAATTAAATTCTGTCATTATTTCATGTAGGGTTGGGCGATATACCGGTAGACATGATTAACCGGTAGAAATTTTTCAACCGGTAGAGATTTTGGACTATTTAGCACTGCGGTTTAAAAATAAGTGATTTTAAACTGTTGAAATGCAATCAGCTGTGAAAGAGAACTAATTTCGCTATATGTACGCACTGTCTGAGAGACTGTTTCTGAGCGCTGTCTGAGAGGAGTGTACAGGTGAAGACGGTGCTCATAGAGAACGGTAGTATTGAACGAGTTATTTTTGCCGCTTTATAGGCCTTGAACGGTTAAATACAGACACCTGTATGTGTCAAAATGCCCGTCTTTGCAAGTATCCTCATAAACGTAGTAATTTAGGTCTTAAATGAAAGCAAACAGCTGAGAAAGAAAACACATGTGCAACAGTATATTGGATCCAGGCAGCTCTTGAATCTTAAATCACTTTTATAACTGTAATAAGAAGAAATATATATTTAAAGGGATAGTTCAGAATTTTCAAAAATGAAAATTCTGTCATTAATTACTCACCCTCATGTCGTTCTAAACCCGTAAGACCTCCGTTCATCTTCGGAACACAAATTAAGATATTTTTGATGGAATCTGGGAGCTCTCTGACCCTCCCATAGACAGCAAGGGTCCTTACACGATCAAGGTCCAGAAATGTAGCAAGGACATCAGTAAAATAATCCATGTGACATTAGGGGTTCAACCGTAATTTTACGAAGCTACGAGAATACTTTTTGAGCGCAAAAGAAAAAAAAAAACGACTTTATTCAACAATTCATCTCCTCCGCATCACCCTAGCGGACCCTTGCTGTCTATGGGAGGGTCAGAGAGCTCCCAGATTCCATCAAAAATATCTTAATTTGTGTTCCGAAGATGAACGGAGGTCTTACGGGTTTAGAACGACATGAGGGTGAGTAATTAATGACATTTTCATTTTTGGGTGAACTATTCCTTTAATTTACGCAGTGAAGAATATGCAGTGTTTTATACATTTGAATGTGGCATTTCTTATTTATTTGTTCTTTTGTCCTATTGCTTGTAATTAGTTTCTTATTGTTAATCGCTGACTGTTTATTTGTCGTCAGTGAGCTTGAGTGTTTTTCTTTTTTTTTTTCATTTAGTCTAGTTTTTTGTGATATTGACACTGGTGACAAGAATTATGAAATTTTAAAAAATGTAGATTTCATAAAGACGGTATTTAAAGCAATAATGACTATATTGTGATATATATTGTTACTGTAAAATAAAATGACTTATATTGTGATATAAGGTTTTGGCCATATTGCCCACCCCTAATTTCATGTAATAAATGTAGTGCATTTAAATCTTATGAAGCTGTTTCTCTCTGTCCAGCTCACTCTGTTAGTGTGTATGGCGTTAGAGATGATGGTTCTCTGTGGGTGACGTATGCCAGCGGGATGGACGTTACTCTCAGTACTGAACCAACCGTGTCATCCGGGCTGTTGCCGGGAGCATCGTCAGGCCTCGTCCATCCCACAGTCGGAAGGTGCAACATCACGTTGCCGGGGGAACCAGCTCACAGCCTGATAGAGTGGAGACAGAGACGCGAACAGGCCAAAGGGAATTACACAGCATATGAACGGAGACTGAGGGTAATACACAGACACACACGCAGCATATGAATGCAGACTGAGAATAATGTGTTTTCTGGGTAGGGTGACCAGGGTATATAGCATGTAATGCACAGAAGCACAATATGATTTTCCATCCGAAATTTCCTAAGATGCCCAAGTGTATCGCACATTGTTTTGTGAGGTGTTTACGGAACAAGAGAGTAAAATTAGAAATCCTTGTTAATTTAGGATTGCTCTTAGACGTAAAATGCAGTCATTATTTTGTGTTTACCTTTGTGCTGAACAGGCGGGTTTTTTAGGTTATGTTAACAGTAGTAGTTAGCGCATGATTAGATTCAAGTGGAGCTGTCACAGCAAATGCAGCATTCATCACTGAGGTCAAGTCAACTAAAATGGAACCAAATGAGATCCTGACTCCTATTATTCATCTACTGCCAAAGAATTTTGTTCTTTCTTAATTTATTAAAAGATAAATGAATTTATTCCAGCTTTGGAATTGAACCTGGGTCGTTCTAAATGAAGAGTACTAATCTTACCTCTGCCTCTGCATATTTCTCATAATGGTGCTACACTGAGCTTTAATTAACACCATTGTGCTTTAAGCTTTAAAATTGCATGATTTCGTTTGATACCCTACATTAAAGCAAACTTTATTTATTTGATATTCTTCCTAAAAAGGTGGGGGGAAACTCTGACAGAAGTCAAACACTGGATATTTATTTTATTGGTGATTTTACATGTTATTGACGCTTGAAAAATAGTTTTGTCTTTCGGTCTTTCCCCATTCAAGTATACTTTCCTGAGTACTAATACCTGCCAGGATGTTACCAAGATGGCCGCAGAGTTAACTGACTTTCCTTAAAGGGACTTTGGTATAGTGCAAATGGAAGAAATAGACTACACTACACTCCTACACTCTCTAATATACACCCTCTTACAGGCACTGCACAGCCTTATACCCTGCATTTCACACACTGTTCCAACTTCCCTTCAAATAAGTTCCATAAATCTTTCTCTTCTCTATTTCATTCTTTCTAATATTCACTCTTTCTCTGTTCAGTTTTACTTCTTGGTTGCAGATTCAGTATTAGTGTGCTTTATAGGCACTACAAAAAACAATTACATTATAAAACATTTTTTATCAGAATCAGAATCAGAATGAGCTTTATTGCCAGGTATGTTTACACATACGAGGAATTTGTTTTCGTGACAGAAGCTTCCACAGTGTAACAGAATGACAGTGACAGAACAAAAAACAGATAATAAAAAATAAATAAAAAATAGAACAAGTAAAATAAGGAATAAAAAATATACAAATCGACAATTGTATGTACAGGTATATAACAATAGACAGTTGTATGTACAGGTATATTATGTGCAAATTGAAATGTAGACTGAGTATGTGTGTTAGATAAATAAGTGTATGAGTGAATAAACAGTGTGTGTTCCACGTTTATTGTCAAGTGTTCATGAGATGGATGGCCTGAGGGAAGAATCTGTTCCTGTGTCTGGCCGTTCTGGTGCTCAGTGCTCTGTAGCGTCGACCAGATGGAAACAGTTCAAAGAGGGAGTGTGCTGGATGTGAGGGGTCCAGAGTGATTAGCGAGTTTCTGTAAAGCGGAGCTCACGTGTGCTTGCGGAGGAATGTACACACTTACGAGAATGAACAAACAAAACTCCCGCAGCGAGTAGAAAGGCTTACAGTTGAAGAGCACTTCTAGATCTGAACAGCACATCTTCTTTAACACAGTTACATCTGTACACCACCTCTCATTGATTTGTTGGGTAGAGAGCGGAGGTTCGCCAGATGGATGCTAGGCAACGGCGTTCTGAATCTGCGCTGCCTGAGCTTGACGAGGGCGCCGACTCGCTTCCCCCATCTGCGCGTCTTGAAGCGCTTGATCAGCGCCGCAGCTCCCCCAACTACAATGTCCAGCAAAACATCAGAATAATCGAAAACCGGTGAAATATTGGGTGGTGTGTACTTCCGAATGTCCAGCAATTCGTCTTAACGGACGCATCATCACACGGACCTGGGCCAATGGAAAGATCTGGAGCTACACTTTTCTGGAGAAGGTGTGTACAGTACTGCATGTGTGTGAGAGCTGCAACTACGCCTGTGTGAATCTCAAAAAAACCTGTCAAGAACATGTCTAGGTCATATTTGACACCAAAAATGGAATGAAAGAAATCATAAATAGTTTGTTTATTCATTCATTCATTTATAATCAATGTTAATATTTTACATTTGTAAAAATAATATTTACATTTTTCTTAGCACAACTTGTTTTATTTAGATTTGTATTATTATTATTATTATTATTATTAATTCATTCATTTATCTATTTACTTGAAAATGAACATTTTACAAATGCTTTATGGTTATGAGATTTTCTGAAAGAAAATTTGATTTAGTTTGTTTCTTCTTTTTTCTTGAATGTGTTCTTTTGGGGTTTAATGTCACATTTTTTCTTGAGATTCACCAGCCAACTGGTACATGTTTAAGTCTCAATGGTCTTTCTCTTGTCTTTTTTTATTCCCCAGTTCTACTATTCAAAAACCTGTCAAGAACATGTCCAGGTCATATTTGACCCCAAAATGAGATGAAAGAAACCAGATTTTTTTTTAATTTGTTTCTTTGTTTATTTATGTTACTATTTTGAAGCCTATTTATTTATTTTGCATTCTAACATTATTTTTATGACAAGTGCCCTAATTATCATTACCATGGTGAGAAAAAAAAATCTCATCAATTGAATAATTTAAATTGTATTTTTTTTTTAAGTATTTAACAAGTATTTATTTATAATTAATTGTATTGGTTTTAATTTTCAGATTTTTTTTTTTTTTAATTTACCTTTTTTTCATGTACAGAAAAAATCGGAATCACAAAAAAAAAAGTGCCCGGATGCTTTATGGTTATGAAAAATTTGTTTTTTAAGCAAAACATCATTTGATTTTGTTTGTTTGTGTTTTTTTGATTTTGGGCTTTAATGTGACATGTTTTTTATGAGATTCACCTGCCAACTGGTACATTTAAATGTAATCTAAATGGTCTCTCTCTGTCTGTTTTCCCCCGGTTCTTCTCCTTCTCTCAGTCTGTCCAGCTGTTGTTACACAGTCAGCGCCGCTATACGTTCGAGTACGATCAGACAGACTGTCTGCTGTCGGTCACCCTCCCCAGCATGGTGAGACACAGCCTGCAGACCTCTCTATCTGTGGGCTACTACCGAAACACCTACACCACACCCGACTCCCCCACCTCGAGTTTCACGCAGGACTACGCCCACGATGGGCGCCTGCTGCAGAGTCTGTACCTAGGCACAGGCAGGCATGTGATCTACAAATACAGCCGAGTGGCCCGGCTGGCTGAGATCCTCTATGACTCAACACTTGTTACCTTCACCTACGACGAGGCAACAGGTGCTGTTAAAACCATCCACCTGATGCATGAAGGATTCGTTTGCACCATCCGCTACAGACAGACAGGTACAACATTTTGACAATGTTATCCGACAGACACTTTGACAGCTGGGTGGGCAGTGTGACCAAAATCTTGTATCACAGTGTGAGACATTTTATATTATGGTTAGGGCTGGGTATCGAGTTCGATACTTTTTAGGCACTGACCGATTTGCCTCGATACCATCGAGTATCGAAAACGTCTCGTCGTTCGGTACCAAATTTCGATACCTAAGGGGTTAATCTCATCACCGTCAGTGATTTCTCAAAAAATTGCCTGCACGCGGACGGGGTGCACGGCTGTCCGCGAGCCCTCCTGATGACGAAAATGACGTAATGTGGACGCGGACGGCCGAAGTATACTTTGGCCTTAAGCCTGCAGCACTAGCCGGTGTGTTCGACTAGAAGAGGTGCGGCGCAGATCGATCAGTGTTTGACATCCGCGAGAGCGATTCGAAAGCGCACGGAGCAGTCTGCTCTCTTTAGCTCTCATGGTACTGTAATACACTGATCGGTCTGCACAGTCGGTCCGCGTCAAGTCGAACACACCTCCTGGTTTACACCGGTTACACTCAGAGATGTGGGGCACACGTGAGGCTGTAGTGCTAATGCGTCCCAGCCCCCTTAGATGTAAGGCTACATTTACACTGGTGCGTTTATGTTTTAAAATGAAAATGATCCTCGTCATACTGGCGTTTCCACTGCGTTTCAAGCCGGCTTTCCACCATCTCCAAAGCGACAGACCGGTCATTCAGTCATTCATTTCCTCAAGGTATCGGTATCGATATCGAACATTTTTGAACGATACACAGCCCTAATTATGATATATCATGAGAGTTGAAAATCGAGAACTGCTTCTTATTCTTATTGTCTGACAAATGATTTTGAACCAATGTCAATTAATATCAATGTTGTTGTTGTTTAATCAAAAACACACAAATGTTACCAACCAAAGACTACTTTGGGTCAATAATTAATTTAGTTAATTCATTTAGTGAATTAATAACATACAGAAAAGTCAATGTAGTTTGATTCCTAAACAAATGACTTTAATGAGTAGACTCTGTTTTAGTGAATCAAACCGACTGGGTGTTTAGTTTTAATTAAAATTATACTATCATATGGTTAATAGAATTACATTTTTACTCAAAATATTTATTTCATAAAAGAATTATTGAAGCTGTAATCATTGAATTCTATACCATTCCCATTCTTAATTATGCTATAATTATTTTTGCTGTAAATTCAACAAAAAAAGTTTTGCCCTTTTTGGTTTAAATACATTTAAAAGGACATACACTAATAGCTACGAAAAGATATCTGCCACAGAGTAAACGGTATAGTACAATCTTTACCGGCTGAAACATTTCTGCCATCACCTTATACATAATGTCAGCCCTAATTGACAGAAAGCCAGGTAATTCGATTTTTTCCACATATTTAACAAATTTTGCTATAGCCAGTAACTAGGCAAAATGGTTAGATCATTTAGCAGAGAGACAGGTAGCACCATGGCATCTTTGCGCAAATAAACAGGAGAGGTGATAATCCCATGAGACAGAGAGACAAGTAAGATGGGTGAGCGGTTGGACAGGTAAACAGGTTATACTCTTGCACCAATAAACATACAGGCTGACGTTTAATCTTCCTTTTGTCACTTCACTTGCACTCGCCTCCTGCTTGGCTGATCTAAAAGCGCTTTGAATCACAATCAGTCGTCTGACAGTGGGAGAGTTCATTCTATCTCACGCTGTGGCAAAGCTGGCTCATGTTTTACCTCACCTCTGTGGCTTTCTGCTAACTTCTCATTCTCTCTCTATTTCCCGGATTCAGGTCCTCTGGTGAGTAGACAGATATATCGTTTCAGTGAAGAAGGACTGGTAAATGCTCGCTTCGACTACAGCTACAACAACTTCAGGGTCACCAGCATGCAAGCGATGATCAACGAAACCCCACTTCCGATTGACCTCTACCGCTACGTGGATGTGTCGGGACGAATCGAGCAGTTTGGAAAGTTCAGCGTTATCAACTACGACCTGAACCAGGTCATCACCACGCATGCAATGAAGCACACTAAAATCTTCAACCCAGACGGGCAAGTGATCGAGGTTCAGTACGAGATTCTGAAAGCCATTGCCTACTGGATGACGCTGCAGTACGACAGCATGGGACGCGTCACAAATTGCGATATTCGCATCGGCGTGGACAACAACATCACGCGGTATGCATACGAGTATGACGCGGATGGGCAGTTGCAAACAGTCGCCATAAACGACCGGCCACAGTGGCGTTACAGCTACGACCTAAACGGAAACATCAACTTACTGAGTCATGGTAACAGTGCCCGTTTGACACCGCTACGCTACGATCTCCGCGACCGGATCACACGCCTCGGGGAGATCCAGTACCGCACTGATGAGGATGGGTTCTTGCGCCTCCGAGGCAACCTGCTCTTTGATTATGGTTCGAATGGACTTCTTTTGGGTGCCTATGACCGGGACAGCGGACAGAGGGTGTGGTACCGTTACGATGGGCTCGGGAGGAGAGTGGCCAGCCGCCACAGTGATGGATCACAGCTGCAGTTCTTCTACGCTGATTTGACGGAACCGACACGGGTGACGCACCTATACAACCACAGTAGTTCGGAGATCACCTCCCTCTATTACGACCTTCAGGGACACCTCATCGCAATGGAGATGAGCAGCGGCGAGGAATTCTACATAGCATGTGATAATGCCGGAACGCCTCTTGTGATTTTCAGTAGCCGTGGCCATGTGGTGAAGGAAATTCGGTACACACCCTACGGAGACGTTTACAGAGATTCCAATCCCACCTTTCCGTTCGTTTTCGGATTTCAGGGTGGCCTTTATGACTCTTTCACACGGTTGGTGCATCTCGGTCGACGTGACTATGATGTGGTAGCTGGAAGATGGACGACACCCAATCATGAATTGTGGGCGGAGCTGAGTGTAAATCCCAAACCATTTAATTTGTATGCATTTAGGAACAACTATCCTCTGGGAGAGCTACAGGATGTAACCAAGTTCACAACTGGTAAGTTTTGTTTTGTGACCATTAAAGGGATAGTTCACCCAAAAATGACAATTCTGTAATTAATTACTCACTCTCATGTCGTTCCAAACCCATAAGACTTTCGTTCATGTTCAAAACACAAATTAAGATATTTTTGATGAAATCCGAGAGCTTTCCGACCGTGCACAGACAGCAACGCAACTACCACGTTCAAGGCCCAGAAAGGTAGTAAGGACATCGTTAAAATCATCCACGTGACGTCAGTGGTTCAACCTTAATTTTATGAAGCTACGAAAAAAAAAATGTATGCGCAAAGAAAACAAAAATAACGACTTTATTCAACAATTCTTCTCTTCCGGGTTAGTCTGTGTGGTGTGTTTAGGAGAGTACCACGACGCATACGTGTGATGCTGCTGACGCAGGAGCCGGCATTCTGACGTAGAAGCCGGATACACTGCAACTTGTTTGCAAGCAGAGAAATGCATGTGCATACGTTGTGGTACTGCCGTGAACGCACTGCAAATTCTGACATGGAAGAGAAGAAATTTAATACAATTATTTTTGTGATCTTTGCGCACAAAATGTATTCTCGTAGTTTCATATAATCATGGTTGAACCACTGATGTCACATTGACTATTTTAACGATGTCCTTGCTACCTTTCCGGGCCTTGAATGTGGTAGTTCCGTTGCTGTCTATGGAGGGTCATAAAGCTCTCGGATTTGACCAAAAATATCTTAATTTGTGTTCCGAAGATGAATGAAGGTCTTACGGGTTTGGAACGACATAAGGGGGAGTAATTAATGACTGAATTTTCATTTTTGTGTGAACTATCCCTTTAAATTGTCCACTTTGTATTTAATAGGCTTACTATGCTAAAGTTAGCTTTAACATAAAACAGAATAAAAATCTTCAGGGAATCTTTTCCCTAACTGGCTACACACTTCAATTTGGAGTGTCCCAACAGATTCACTTTTAGTTTGTGTTGAAATTAGAAGTAGGGGGAGCGACAGTCAGTCAGGTGAAACAAATGTCATGCTTTTTGTTTGGCTTTGTGAGCTGTGATTGTGCTTTTATGCCAGTGACATTTCCCTAAGGTAAAATGAACAGCAGAGAAATAGCACATGGCAGAGCTGAGATTCATTAGTTAGAGCTGAAGCAACTTGCTGTAGACTAATTACTAGGACAGTCTCCCTCAAGCTAACTAGGGTCAAGTGTCTTGCTCGAGGCTACGTTGGCATTACACCAAGATCTCCATAACCCAGGGTCAATTCCATTTTAGTGGCCCTGCTCTTTTTAACTGTTAAATTACTTGTGTACTGTTGAATGCAAAATGAGCCACGAAACAAAAAGATTTGTTTAATATGTCAGTGTGTTCCATATATCACACAAAGTCTCACTGAATCCAGGGGAATCATGCTAAATGTTTTTGATCACAGTCACACTGCATTGAATGCAGTTGTCACTCTCCAACCTGTCTGTGTTCTCTGTACTTTTATGTAGTTCACTGTTTTCTGAGACATTGCATTCACATGAGCAGAATAGTTCCTTATGTATTTGTTTACCATGACCAGTAAGTTTAAAACTGAACTTGAAACTTTAAGGCTTTCATGATAACACTTTTGCGTCTGTTTCTGTGCAGATATCAGTAGCTGGCTGAAGCTCTTTGGGTTCCAGCTTCATAATGTGGTTCCAGGGTTCCCCAAACCAAAGGTGGAGAACACAGAGCAAACGTATGAGATGATGGCCACACAGATCCGCACACAAACCTGGGATACCAGCAAGGTGAGCTGAGGTTTCCCACAGCACAGTATTTATTGCCAACACAATTATTTAGAATTCCTTTTTAGTCTAGTCTTAAAGAAATTTTCTTAAAAATGATTTGTCAGCATTTGTTAAACGGAGTTAGGGCTGTCAAGTTTCAATATGACCAAAAAGCACCATTAAAGTGTCTTAAAAGTATTATGCTTATGCTTTATGTTCCAACTCTTCTGAAGCCATATGATAGACATCTTCTTGACACATTCATGAAAGTGTCGGCAATGTCAGATTGGTGAACAAATCAATCAAATTAACAAATTGGTGAACAAATCAAATCTTTTTAATTAAATGATTGATTCAGGTCACAAAACCTGAATGAAATGTTCCCAAATACATTTATCTGGTTCATTTGTTGATAAACTATTCCTTTAAGAGTTAATTTAGTGCCTCAAACAACACTCATGGTAACTATTTCATAACATCTCCTCTCACCTCAGATTGTACTCGGCATCCAGTGTGACCTTCAGAAGCACTTGAAAAACTTCATTTCATTGGATCGCCTCCCCATGACGCCAGCCAATGGGAAAATCGGAGGTCGCCAAGGCCGCAGGCCAATTTTCTCTGCCCTTTCTTCAATCTTTGGCAAAGGTGTAAAATTCGCCATCCGTGATGGAGTGGTGGCGACTGAGATAATCGGCGTGGCGAGCGAGGACAGCCGTCGTGTGGCGGCCGTACTGAATGGTGCTATATACCTGCGTGGCCTCCATTTCACCGTGGAGGGGCGTGACACACACTATTTCACCAAGTCCGGCCCGCTGGAGGCAGATCTGGGAGTGGCCGGGGGCGGAGCCGGAGGCGGAGTCAGAGTGTTAGAGAACGGCGTAAATGTCTCTGTGTCCCAGATAAGTGCTATGGTAGGAGGGGAAATGCGGCGATTCGCTGACATTGTGCTCCAGCAGGGGGCACTTAGCTTTAACATTCGTTACGGAGCAACTCCGGAAGAAGAGCGTACGCGCGTTTTAGAGGCGGCACGAATACGAGCTGTGCAGGGGGCGTGGCTGTGGGAGCAGAAGAGGGTCCTGGAGGGGGAGGGCGGAAGCTTGCCATGGACTGAGAAAGAAAAGGATGAGCTGGTTGCAGAGGGCCGTGTCTCAGGGTACGATGGGTTCTACGCTCTACCTGTTGAACAACACCCTGAGCTAGCAGACAGCCCCTTCAACATTCACCTGATCAGACATGTGGAAACTGGTCGCAGGTAACAGCGGCACCTCAGCACACCTCTACATGCCTACACTCCCCTTTATACACTCCAAGCTACCACATATCTCTTCAGCTTTTTCTAGAACCCCAACCAAACGAAGCGAGAAAGACTCTATTGCCTTTCAAATGTGACAAATGATGGTATTGTTTTTGATTTTGCATTCGTTTATGCACTCTTGGCAAGTTTGGATTCCTGTTTTTTCGGTTTCGTTAGGTAGATTTTGTTGAAAGTCTTTCTTGTTTTACAGTGGCTTAACCGTTCTTACACAAGAACAAGCCTTGCTTGCCAATCGGAGGGCGCAGAGAACGATTCACCTGTGACTGTTCTTGGCATACATTAAGGAGTCTTCATCTCTACACATGCTGATTCTCTCACTTGAGCGTGTACAGTAATCATTCAAACTGGTTATGGCATTAAATCTTGCAAACCTGAGGGGTTTCCTTGTGAGCTCTGTGTTAAACGTTTCTCTCCAAATTTTCAGTCGATCTGCATTCCAGGATTTACATAGATGGCTTTCAGAGCCCTCGGAAGTTTGAATGACCTTCCAGAAACCCGACATTTCAGCGGAGCTCTAAGAACTGTCATATCGCAACAGCTTTCTGGAGTCCTTGAGAAGTATCTGACTCAAAACTGTCACAAACCTTAACCCCTGGGCTGCAAGAGATTCACAGTGTTTGGAGTCTTGGCAAGAGCTCGCCACCATCTTGTGTTGTTTCTGCTTAATCAGTGTTGACGAAGCTGAGAGAATTACGCCGCTGCTGTGGAAGACAAATTTGTTCTTTTTTGCTAAAACTGTACAGTTAAACTCTTTTTTTTTTCCAAATGTAGAAATCAAAAAAATATGTATGTGGAAATTGTGCCTTCCTGGTCTGCTAGAAACGATCACACGAAACGGGCTTAGACATATCGTACATACTCAACTTCAGTATTCGTCACATGCCTTAGTTGTATGCAATTATTTATTTATTTATTTTTTTAGTTGTTATTTATTTATTTATGTATTTTTGGCGGGGAGGGGTTTGGCTAGCGAGAGCCAAAAACATGAATGCTAATATGCCTGCGAGATGAATTCTTGTAAACAGACCCCAGGATATAAACGTCCCAGTTTACAGTTAATATGCTGCTCTTTTTTATTTGTTCTCATGTGATTTCACTCTTTTCTGTTGCTTTCGCTTTTGCTGTACACTTAATGTGAAACTCACATCATGTGTTGGTCATTTCGGTTTCTAAACGAGTGTCAAAGCTCCAACGTTTCGGATTTTTCCAGTACTTTGACAGGTCCTTTTGCTTTTTTCTGATCCCTCTCGAAACTAGTAGGAGGCCTGAGGAGGAAGATACGTAGGGAAATTAAAGAATCACCTACTGAAGAACGGTATTTTTGTCTTTTCCAAACTATTAAAGTCTGCAGCACTGTGGGTAGACGTTCTGTGTGTAGGACTCTTGATATGGACTTGTATATCATTAATGGACTATTGTAGACTGTTTATAGATACTGGACTATTTATACATGACACTCAAGAGAATTAGGAGTAAATGTATTTTCTTGTGAATTCTGTGGATATGCTGTACCATCAAGCTTTGTAATCTTAATCTGAGATATATATTTGCACTGAATATAAGGTGAAGCGATAAATGCATTAGACTGAATTTTTAGAGTGTGCAAATATGAACAGATTCGTGAGAGGTGCTCTGAAGGCACGTTACGTTTCCAACATTTTGCAGATGTTCATTTCAATCGAAGTAAGATAATGTTGCACAAAGAAAAAAATTGTGGCGGAAATATTTTTCTTTTGGTCTTAGTTTGCATCTTTGTCATAATCACAATCATTGCTGAAGTGAAAAAGGAATATGTAACTTTTTTTATATGATCGAATCATCTTCCTCTCTCAAAAGTACTAAAAAACTTCAGTGTCCTCTCCTTGGCCAAACAAGTTCCTGTGGTGTATATTTGGCGGAGAGGCTTTATGTACACAGTTTGTTAAACATGCCTATTTAAAAACAAAAGTACTTTGGGCAGTGGCCTTTTTATAAATAAAACCGCAAATGTAACCCGTTCTTCTGTGTGCGAGTATTTGCGCAGGACGGCTGAAGCACTTGTGTGATTTCCTTTATATGCATTATCTGCACCTTTTTTTCCTCTCGTTTGTTTCTCAAACCGGCAGAGCTTTCAAACACTGAAGAAATCATTTTTTTATATCAGTTTAAAGAATCATAAAGCATTCTTCTGCTAATATTTTTGGGAAGAAAAAGTATATTATGCATATTATTTTGTTGGTTATATTTTTAACATCAAAAGGGCTCTAAATTTCCTTACATGCAAGACCAATTTGTTTTTAACATTAATGTGATGGTATTATTGCAGGAATTGTGACGCTCAATGAAGTTTAATGAGAAAATGTGAGAACAAAAGTTGTTTCCTGTTCAATCTCCAAAACAAAACAAGTAAAAAAGTCTAAAACAAGTTTCACACAGAAACACTTGGTTAGCAAACCGTCATTACTAGACTGAAAACAAGATAGCAATCAAGCTAAGAAAAGATTTGACATTTAGTTCAAGGCCTACTTCTCTCATGGGTTCATTGTCTCTGTAGTGATCTGTAACTGGCTGTATCTGCGTTGCTGATACTATCTGAGGTGAGGATTACCAAATAAATGTATAGCCAACATGAGATTATTCATGAACAAAAAAAAATTTAAGGAAAAATCTCAAATTAAAGTCTACATAAAAATTGAAGTATACAGTGTGTAATGTTATGGCCAATTATTTAAAGTGCCCCTATTATGGATTTTTGAAAATTACTCTTTATGCAGTGTGTAACACAGCTCTAAAGTGAATGAAAACATCCTGCAAAATTTCAAATCTGAAAGTGCACCATGTATAAAGTTATTGTCTCTCAAAAGAAAGAGTCGACTCTGAATCACTGAAACGAGTTGATTTTAAAACGAATTCCAAGCCGTTTCATGTTGATGTCAACATGAAACATTAGCATATTGCCCGCCCACTTGTTGGTCTTTTCGCATTGGTTTGAATGAAAATGCAAATTCATTCTTGGCCACTAGGTGCAGTTGTTGGAGCGGTAAAAAATAGCTGTTTCTCTGGTAACGCTGTAAACAAAGCAGCACTGCGCTAACAAACGCTGCTTTATCAGGCATCACAGGCATGATGAAATGAAAATGAGACCAATCACCGCAGATTAGCTTCATGCAAAGGAGGGGTTTGGAAAAACGAATCGTTTAAAAAAATGCATATTATTAGACAATTAAAGTGTTTTTTGACCTTGCATGCATGTCAACCTGTTGTTGGGGACTCCCAAAACCAAAATATAAACCTTTCATTACCCATAATAGGGGCACTTTAATATATACTAGATTATTTGCAGCTACTTCTGTATTCATTTGATTATAAATGTAGCAGCCATGTTGCTTAAATATACTTTTCAACATTTTTACAATTTACAGCATTTACTACATTTCCACAATTTACCCCCTTGGGTTAAGAGACCCCAGAGAAGATACTCTTGCGCACATTTACAGCATGTAGAAACTGTTCTAATGTATTTGTTTTGGCTTGTGTGTTATTATTTAGCTCTGTTTACAGGATACAAAAGAGGAACCGAGATGCCTTGGTCTGGAAGCTTGAAGGCAGCAATAAGGTTGCCGACGTTCCTAAAGAGCCTTTCCTTCATCCCAGGAGCCACCTGGAGAGAGAGAGAAAAGAATTTCTCAAAAACATTCTTCCTGGGCTCTTAAAAAAAAAAAAAAAACGATATGCCTTAACTTTTAAATGTACAATTTAATAGTGATTATAATGATGGCGTAAAATGTACACGCTTGTGGTGCTTCCATTTCCGTTGAGTCAGTGTAATTTTTTATATATATATATATATATTTGTGTGGCATTTTGCTCATGTGGCTGGTGGCTGATGCTGATCAGTTACAGGAAGCACAATGAAGGCAGATAAAACGAAGAAAATGTAAAGCTTATCCACAGGCAATACCCGTTTAAAACAGGGTTTAAAGAGGCCATTCTAATGTTATAAGAAACTTGATCATTAATTAGTGTGGATGATTGGGTTTCAGTCTAAACTCTTTAGGGTGTTTACACGTTGCACAGCTTGCCATTTCGTTGGTGCGTACGAAACGAGATGTGGGTGATGCCGAAACATAACAGATGTACATGGCGATTCTCTGGCTGTTCATTTGTGGGGTGTGAGGCTACAAATACATGCAACACACTGACCACAAAGAGAAAAAAAATATGCTGTGCACTGCTATATAGTTTAGTGCTGCTCTTCTTGTTTTAAAAGTATCAGTGTCATTAATGTACAACCAGAAGTAGTCGCAGGAAACATATTGTACTGTATTCCAAATATCATCACACAAAACATATGCTAAGACAGAAGTATGCTTTTATATTAAGACATGTATATTCAGGTTTCAAGTACAAAGGTCCAAAAATCTATTCGTACCTCTATTGTCCAGAGGCCATCCTTTTGTTTGAAAACTCTGTAGGTGTAAACCCATCCATCACACCTGAAGATTTACACACAGTCATAATGTTATTTGCAGCACAATATTTAAACTTGGAGTCATCCCGTTTTGCAGTTGAATGTGTGTCCCAGCCTGGGGTCTCCAAACTCAGGGTCACATCACAGGAGAGTGAACTGTGTCAGAAATCATAGCACGTCAGCTGTCTTAACCGCGGCTTGTGTACTGCATCATCACTGTGTCTGTCACACGACTCTGTTGCCCTTTCGGGCTTGAACTGATGGTAAAACTAACGACATTATTAACTGTCTTGATATTTACGTTGAAAGCTGACGCTCGTGATTATGGTAAGGGGAGTGCTTGTGGTGTTCGGCCAATCACAATGCACTGGGTCAGCTGGCCAATCAGAGCAGACTGCGCTTGTCAAAGGAGGGGGCTTTGTTGAAAACGAAGCGTTTGAGAGAGGCGGGGCATAGAGGACCTACAATAATGTACAGTATTTGAAAAATAATGTGTTTTTTGAACATTAAAGCATGTCACACCACATTCTGTTACATCAAATACACAAAATAATGATCTTTAAAATAGCATCATATGACCCCTTTAAGATCTTCATAGACGCATTGTATTTGTTATTACTGATGCATGAAAACACTCCTACTCTCAGCAACTTTAATACCTTAGTTTTATTCTCACATTTTAAAATCATATTGCAACATATCACCTCATGAAACACATTTTCAAACT